CTTTTTTTTTTTTTTTCCTTCATTTTGCAACTGTGGCTATATGACTGTCTCGCTGACACTTGTAGCGGGGGCTGAGCGCAGTCAGGGAAGCAGTAAGGAAGTATAGGACCTACCGTACTGAGCTGCTTAGGCCACGTTTCGGGAATGCAAGATGAGCTTGTGGAGAATGAGTGACTGGCACTGGCTCCCAGCTGTGATAGACGGATGGTCAAGAATGTGCCATTTTGGGTCTTCAGCTCTGTCAATACATGTAAACTTTCATGAATGATTACAAACAAGCATTCTGATGTAACTTATACAAGACTAAACATTTGGGTGGTATATTCATAAAAAAGGAAAGGGAGGGTCTTCTTTTGTGTTAACACACATAACACAATGCCAGCCCAGTTCTTGAATGTACATGTTTTCTTTCCCCATGTATTTTTCCTTCCAAGGAGGGAAGGCTGGAGTACGAATAGCAGCATGTTGCACTTTCCTCTAAATGTTTTCCTGCTCTGAAAAAAAATCTAACAGTGCCCTCCCCAGCTTTCGTCTGGATAACAGGAACTACATTTCAGCATCCACATGAAGAAAAGGAAGCAACCCGCTCTATCACTCTACCAAGAGCACTACACAGCATGGTAGAGAGAAACATAAGGCAAAAAAAAAAAAAGGAGAGGAAATGTTGCATGCTGAGCTAATCTCTACAGGAATCTTTGCTGCAACATTTTGGCCCACAAAGACCTTCATTTTGGTATGTCACTAAAGACATGCAAAGGTGTATTTTTAAAAGTCCAATACATATACTGAGTTCATTGGCTCACAAGGAGGAATTCGAAAGAACTGAAGCAATAGATGTTCATCACTTTACCCCCGGGGTCAATTTAAATATAGGTTTTAGTTCAGCCACAATTCGTAGCACGAGGGGGCAGGAACCACTGGATGTCACCTGAAGCCTACGTATGTACTACAGGAGGCCAGATGAGATAAATGCAGGCAAGCGGGGGGAGGAAGGGTCCTCAAAATCTATGACTTGATACTCACAAATGTATTATGTGGATGAAACTCATAAAACCAGAAACAGCAGCAGCAAGTACCTCTGCCTGTCAAAGGAGGTCATCAAACAGCATTTTATGCAGCTAATTCTGCTCCAGCGCTGTTGAGAATGGGAGAAGAGAGCAGCTGGAGACCACAGAGACGAGGTCCTCAGGAGGGTCATTAGCACTATGTAACGCACTTTTCTTCCCCTCCCAACCATCACTAGGGATGCAATAAGTCTACAAGCCTTATCTGGGGGCAATTTCTGGGGCTCAGAATTGGAAACACAAATTACTCTTACAGGCAAAGCTCTATCAGGTGGAATCTAAAAGGCCTTTGCCTGCAACAAAACCCAAAGCAAGTCCCAATAAGCTTCCATGTGTTTCATGGACTCACTAACACGTCCAGCGGAACGGAAACTCTAGGAGATCAATCTGGTACCAGACTTTTCTTGCACACCAGTCAATGTGGATTTGATTCTGAGTGGGACCTCAGGAGAAGTGCTGCTATGTGTGTATGCGCACGCTTAAGGTGGCATAGCATATTACTCTTTTGGGCAAAGGTATATAAAAGGCTTTTCACTTGATCATCTCACGCGCCCTGAGTTTTTAAGCTAAGCTTTGGAAGGATTTCCACCTCCCTATGCAACAGGGAACCTGCTTGAATCTGCAGCTTGAAGAGCTTGATGTGAGGAAGATGCCATTGTGTAAGGCCCTCTTGCAAGATCCGTGACATTGCTTTTAAAGAAATCCATTACCCACCAACTCACTGAAAAAAGGGATAACTCAGAATAGTGATGCACGTGGCAGCAGGACAAAGGGTGATCCTGAACAGATCCATGGGAAAGGCTTGAAGATGGTGGGTGAATCTTTGGGCCACTTGGTCTGGACAGACATCTCAGTGTTCTTGCCCAGCAAATGGGAAGAAGAAACAGATAGGAAGAAGACATATCCTGACTGTAACCCCCCGCCCCAGTTATCTCTACAAACTGGTGAAAATAAACAGCCACCACCGCAAAGCTGAACGACGTTTCCATTTCTGGCCAAAAACCTGATTCACCCCCTTGCCTCCCTCGCCAACAGCAAGAGGGTTTTAGTTTTTTTGCACAGCCCTAAGTTGTCAAAACTTTCCAAGTGCAATTTTTTTCCCCCAAAGGAAGGAACATTTAAGTAGCCACAGGAAGCCTTTATAAAAGGCAGTGGTATATTACTGAAGAGTCCTTAAATATGGATACGATGGACCGGCCCCATTCCCAAGGAAACAAAACCCATTCTTCCCTTGCTGTAGGAAACCAGTGATAAAGACTGCAATTAAAAGGTGTGGCAGGAAACAGCTGGAATTTTGAAACCAAGGCCAAAGGATTGACGATGAATGCACACTGTCCTTCTGCTAGTTCACACTTTACACTTTGGAATATATATATAAATATATATATATATATATAAAATATAAAAACACACACACACATACACATTACTCTTTAGATACTAAACATGCTGGGTCCAAGGCCAAGTGAATGGAGTGGATCAGACATGTTTGGATGAAGGCAAGTGCATGCCCAGGTCTCTCCAGTATTGTTAAAGGGATGCTTTAGGCTCATCCAGACCCATGGCTTGAGGACTGACTTCTTCCAGCTACCATGGGCAGTGAGCATGAAGAACAGGAGACCCTCTAAGTGAGCCCTGTCTCGGCCACACTGTTAGTTCTTTTGACAGAGAAAACTGAAAGGATTGTCTCTCCTTATTACAACAAGTGGGGAGATTTTTTTTTCTTTTTTTTTTTTTTTTTTTTTTTTTTTTACAA